CCGGACTGTCTGCGGGTTTCGGGGTCGGGGCGGGGTTCAGTTGCGGCAGAGACTCGGGCGGTTTTCGGGGGATGCCCCGTTCGGGTTGGGGACGGAGGTTTGAGCCTGTGCCTCCTGCCAAGGCTTCTGGGTCTTACCAGCGGCCCTTTCTTGTTGCCTTTCCCATGGGCTCTTGCTTTTCTTTAAGGGCGGAGGGCTTGGAGGACGGCTCTGCCCCGGGGCCTCTGTTGTTGGTTCCCGGGGCTGTGGGGGTTGCCTGCTAGCAGTTCTGGGGCGGTTTTGCCCCTTCAGGGGTTTTTCTGCTGTTGGGCGTCGTTTTTCGCCCTTCCAGTCTGCTAGCTTCCCACATTTGCTGGCGTGTTTTTGTGTATTAAGCGTCAGTCACAGCCCCTGCTGCCGGCCATTTTCGTCTGCCGGTTTCCCGGCGTGGCCACCAGGGCGGCGTTGCGGTTTGTTTACATGCGTCTGGGTGTGCGAGCGAGCGTCTCTGGTGAGTTTTCAAAAAATTTGCAGGGTTTTTGTTCTCCTGTTGTCGTTTCTTTGTTTTTCTGGTGTTTTCTTGCCGTTGCCTGTTCCTCTGGGAACGTTTGGGTGTTGATTTTGGGTCTGAGCCTCTGGGTTTAGGCTCAGTGCCCCTGGCTGGTATGCTTGCTCCCACACCTTGCCCCTCGGTTTTCGGTCTGTTGGGACCGTTTTCCCAGGGCGTTCTGCTGGGGTCTGTGCTTTGCCTTTTAGTGGTGTTCTCCGCCGGCAAATGTGGTGGTTTGGGCTCCCCCTGGTTCGATTCTGGGTTCCTTTGGGTTCCTTGGTTTCGTTCTGGAGGTTTCTTCCTCTTGGGCCCCCTTTTGTGGGTTCAGGGGACTTTGTTTCCTCGTGTGACCCGGTTCTGTCTTTTGGGGTTCCGGGGTCTTCCTGGCTTGCAGACTGAGCTTTTTGGGTCTTGGCACATGTTGTGGTTGTGCTGGGACTTTGTAGTTTTGCTGTCGAGGTGGGCCTTTTGATGCAGTTTTGTGCCTTCTTTGCCTGGCCGGCGTAGTGCTCTTTGCCACTAGTCGGCGGCTTGTGCTTTTACAATATATGTCCTCACCTAGTTGTGCTTGTGGGGGTTGAGCTCTGGCTCCTTGGTCCTGCCTCTCAACCGTCCGTCAACAGGTGTATCGGTTCCTGTGCCTCTTGGGCTCTGTCATGTCTACATGTGACATTGTATGGGGGTCAGCCTCGTTACTTGTGTGAGGAGTCGCCACATTACTTCTTAGTGCTTTCCCGTTCCCATTCTGACACTCAAAAAAAAAAAAAAAAAACTAATTCTATCTGTGGCTCTTTTGGGTACTCAGTTTCCACCTGTGTCCCCTAGTGCGTGTGCCCCTTGTGTTACATAGCCTGTCCTTCTCAACCCTGTCGATTCCCTTGGGTATCTTGTATGTGGTGATCAGGTCTCCCCTCACTTCCTCTTCCAGCGAAGTGTGGTTTCATTCCCGTAGTCTCTCCTCATGACTTCGGTAGTGTACTTTTTCTTTCTGAAGGGGTTCTGTTCCCTTCTCTGTTGACTGGGCGCTGGGGGAGCAGCTTGCTCTGTTGCCTCTCGCTTGGTCCCGCTGTTGGTGGGCGCTTTGGGTTGTCTTCCGGCCTCTGCTGGCGTCGGAGGACGGCTTCTTCCCCTTGGGGGGGTTCAGAGCTGGCGGGGTGGGCTTCTTCCCTGCGCTTCGTCATTTCCTCTTCGTGGGTGCGTGGGGCGTGGTCGATCCGCCCCATCCTTCTGGGCTTCCCGTCTGCTCTTTGCAGTCATGAGCTTTTCCCGTCTGCTCTTTGCAGTCATGAGCTTTTCCAGTCAGCAGTTCTTCTGGACTACTTCCGTCTGCACCCTGGATCCTCTGCCCTGCTCGGAGGACTGTTGTCTCCTGTTTGGATTCTGTTAGGGCCGGGTGCATGGATGGTGGACCTGGACCTCCAGGTCACTTCTTGGCACGTTCCTCTCCAGTTTTTCTGGGGCTAGCACGGTTGGTAATTACCTATGTGTACTTACCTAAGTGTAGTTACAGGATGAGAGCTACTCTCGTGGTGTCCCGTCTTCCCAGCACTCTTTGTCATATAATGCTTTGATTATAATTGTCATATTGTCCTATAATGATTGTCATATGTCATAATATGTCTTAATATGATTGTCATACAATGCTTTGGTGGTGGGGCTTCAGGTTTGCTGTTTTTATTGCATTCCCTATTTTGTGAAGGGCACTTTGTATACTCTTTGCATCTTTACCGGATCTTAGTGCCCTGTCTGCGTCTGAGATTCGGTGTCTGGCCTACCTCGACGACTGGCTGGAGTGGGCTCCCAGTCAGTCCGCTTGTCTGCTCGCCAGGGGATGGTTCTTTCCAGATCGCTGGGTTTGGTTTCCTGGTGATCTGGAGGTTTTACCTTCTGTTTCCGTCCCGGGTTCGGACCTGGGCCTCGTTTCAGGCTCTTGGGCCCCTCATTGTCTTCCCTCCAGAAGTGTTACTGTGGCTGTGGTCCCGCCTTTGGCTGTTCAGGTGGGGGTCCCGGGTTGCTCAGCGGTTGCTTGGGCGGTTGTGCGGGAGTTTGCACTTCGGCGTGCTTGTCTGCCCGCGGAGTCGGGTTTGGCTCCGGCGTCGGTTGGTTCCTACGGAGACTCCACTTCCGCCTCTTGCATTCCTTGGGTTCCTCTGGGGATCTGGTGTTGGTGCTGCGTCACCAGCTTCCTCTTTGGGGTTTTCGGGGTTCCGTGCCTTGGCAGCTCCCCGAGCCTTCGCTCGATGTGTTCACGGACGGGTCGTCTCTCGGCTGGGGCTTTGTGACCAGTGCTCACCAGGTCGGCCGAGGTTGATGGAGTCTGTCTGTCCGTCGGGCTCACAGCCCGGTTCAGGTGTTCATGGCTGTCTGGTTTGCGCTTCGGAGGGTTTGGGTCACTAGGTACTCTACCATTCAGCTCTGGACTGTTCTCTGGTGGTTCTTGCCGGAACCACAGGGGGTTTGGTTAACCGTGTGGTTCGTGTCCGGGGTGTGTCCTGCGTCCTGGTGGACAGCTGTCTCGGTTCATTCCTCTTCGTGGGTTGGCCAGTCGTCGCCGATTCGTTTTGTTGGCTCTGTTGGGCTTATGGACTCCTGGCCATGGACGTCTTCGGGTCGGCGTGGTCTAGGCGTCGCCCGTTTTGTGGCGCCCTTCCCACCTGCGAGGACTTCACGGTGGAGGCTTTCGGCAGGCCTGGTCGAGGTGGGGGGTACCTGTACCTCTTCTCCCGGTCCAGCTGTTGCTTCGGGTTCTGGCTCGGTTGCAGCCCATTCCCACGAGAACAGTCCTTATGGTTCCACGGTGGCCGGCCCGGCCTTCTTTTCAGACGCTGCTTGATAGGTGTCCGTACCCGGGGCGTTTTTCCTGAGGCTTCGCCTCTTTCAGCAGGCCGAATTGGTCCTGTCCGTGACTGGTTCGGCCTTCTCTTTGGCTCTTCGCGTCTGGTATTTTGACGCAGGTATCGCCATCTCTATGGTGTTCAGGTGGCTTTGTTGACGGTGTCCCACCTGCGAGCTTCGTCTTGGAGACTGTATGACGTTTATTACGTTTTCTCGCGTTTTGTTTCCCCTCCGGCCTGCTCATGAGTCGCCTGAGCCATCCTAGTCCTTGTTCAGGGTGCCTTCTTCTCTTCCCCTCAGTTTGTGGTAGCCCCTTCGGTTTCAGTTTCCTCCTCTTTGGTACTGGTGGTAGCTTTATTGGTGTGCAGCCTTTCGCTGTCCTGGCGACGGTCGAGACGGCTGCTTTCCGGAGGGGTTCTTGGGGTATTGGTACTTGTTTGGTTTGGCCGGGGGGTGCGTCCTGTGTTGTCCAGTTGTGCTTTTTGCTGTTGCCGGCGTACCGTGCCTGGGGATGCGCTGTGGTTGATCCGGTTCCTTCGTTCCCTGTTTTCAGGGCTCGTGTCTCCCGGGTCGTCCGCAGTGTTTTCCTTCTTCCTGCGGTCTGTCTTTGCGCCCGTGCTGTTCAGACGTTTGCAGCAATTGCTGCTGTGTTGGTGACGTCTCGGGCTCATTTCGGGCGCAGGGAATTGTGGGTCGCACAGGTTTTTGGCCGCCCATCCATATGTGCGTCTGTTCTTGGGCGTTCTTGTTGCCTTGGGTCGCAGGTTTGCGACCTGTTGTCTTGGCTTTGCGTTGCAGAGTTTGTGGCGGCCGCCTCCCGGGTTAGCCCTTTCTTTTTCTTCTCTTTGGGTATGAAGCTCCAGGGAGCCGTAGGGGCTCCCCACAGAAAACCAGCGTTGAATGTAATGAAACGCCATTTTCTGGGTGAGCCCCGGAGGCTCCCTGGAAACCCTCCCTCCCACCGGTCGGCGGTTTTTTTCGCGTTGGTTGAAGCTTAGCTTCCGAACTGGAGCTTGGCAGCCGGCGCGATAGGTCCGGGGCTCCCCCCTCCCCCTCCCGGGGTGGGGAGGGCTGCGCGGACGATCGGCGCGGCAGTAAAGTGTGATGTTTGCTTGTTTGCTTGTTTCCTTGGGATTGTAGGGAGTTTTCTACCTCTGTTCGGTTTTTGTTGTAGTTTCTTACCATGTGGGGTTTGTTTTGTTACGCCTACCTTTCTGGGTGCCTAACCCCGGTCGATGGCAGATAAGAAAAACCCCCAACCATATGGGGTTTTCCAGGGCCATTGCTCCCTGAAACCTCTCTGAAGGGGCCAGGTTCTGGCGCTGGTCCCTGGTAGGTCTGAACTCCTTAGCTAATGTCCCGGTCTAACATAACATACATTAGCCCGATAAGCTCCAGGGAGCCTCCGGGGCTCACCCAGAAAATGGCGTTTCATTACATTCAACGCTGGTTTTTTTTAGCCAAGTGTTTTAACTTTAAACTTGAATAGTGATCACCTTAATACTTCACGGATGATTGGTGTTAAAAATTCTGAAATGTGTGGTGTTATGTATATCATGTATCTTGTTATAAGTATACACTTTGTTTATGATTTTATGTATTGTATGTATATATATTTTTTCTTTTTATGTTTCAGGTATATAGATGATGAATTTTATTTATTTACTGGAAGCAAGAATGTTCATATGCTGATTAAAGAGGCCAAGGACATAGACCAGTATTATGGAGATAGATATGGTGTAGCTAAGGTCAGTCAGTGTCAGTCATGCCATATATTTTCTTATTATAAATTTAAAGTTGTGTGTTCACTCTTGTATTATAATATGAAATATTATAGTGCCTACATATCAGTGATTTCCGGGCAGTGAGATGTAGCTCTTTGTACCCCTCCAAACCTGTTATACCTGGCAAACTTATTGCAACTTTTTGTGTGTGTGTTTTGTCATATCTTTTCTTTTGTTAAAGGAAGTGGCTTCAATAATTTTTCATTTCAATGCACTCCTCTTGTTGATCACTCACACAAGGTATAACTATTTCTCTACATTTCTCTCAATTTCTCAACTTTCTCTCAATTTAAATAAGCTGTTCTTGTCCACAGTATACTCTCTCAGTATCTTGCATGTAGTGATTGTATCACTTCTGTGTCTTGTCTCTGAGGTTGTTAGGTTTAGTTTCCTTAATATATCCTTATTACTCAGCCCTCGATTCAGATACAATACTAGTTGCAAACCTGTATTTTCTCAGGTTTCTTTTTGTGCTTCTTGAAATGCCTTTCCTATGCCAATGCTACATGCTACAGTAATGGACAGTGTATGTGGACTTTAATGCCTCCTTGTTTAGATTTGTGAATGCTGTTCATATATTTGTCCATTCTTTTTATGAGGTTGATGTTAGCCTGTTCAGATGAGTTTCTGGGGTTGTTGTTGATATTGTATAGACTATCTGAGTCTTGTTAACCAAACCACACACTAGAAATTGAAGAGATGATGACTTTGTGTATATGAGTCTTCTCTTATTGTTTCTCAGTGATTCCTTCCCTTATGATGAAGCTTCCTTATAGGTTTTTTATCTCTTGTTCATATCTTCATTACACATGTTTAGGTTGAATTTCAGCAAATATTTATCTATCATTTCCTGAATTTTGGCAGTGTTCTCCTGCAGCACATTATCAATATTCTTCAGTTCTTACTGAAGAATATTATTAATATATAATAACTCTAATTTGCACAGACGCTGTCTTGTTGAATCGGCTCTAATACACAACGTACCCAACATGAACTTGAGTCCTGGCTTTGTTGCTGTTGACTCTTCCCTTGCACAGTATATACTCAAATGCTCTAAGCTTTCTAACAAACGTGACCTAACATAAGCCTACCCCTCCATCTTTCTTTCTCTTTCCTTCTTTCTTTACCTTGTTTTCTCTTACGATCCCCTTCTTATTCCTATTACTATCCCCCTTATTACATCTTACCTTTCGTACCTTTTGCCTTGCTTTTTCTTCCTCTTAAGATTTTCTTCTCACTTCTCTCCTGCCTATTTATTGCCTTTGCCTCCTTCCCTCATTACAATCGACTTGAGAATGGTCCAGGACGGACCGAAGCGTCATGGTCCCTTCGCTTTCTAGTGTGTGGTTTGGTCAACATATTTCAGCCACGTTATTGTGACTCCTCGTCTGCATTAATATATAATATTCTATACAAAAACTAATCTCATTAGTTTTGAACAGAAGAGAGCACTGAGGGGACCTCACTTTTCCCTACTCTCCCACCTGGTATATCTGATCATTGGTTTCCTATGCATTATGTACTCCCTTGCCCACTTCAGAGTCTCTTGTTATCCCTGCTTGTATCTCCAGCTTGTGTATCTGTTGTTTATGAAGAACTGTATTAAAAGCTTTCTGCCAGTCTAGAAATTTGCAGACTGCCTATCCTTTGTTCTCGTGCTTAATTTTGATTTCCCTGTCCTAGCATTCAACCAAGTTAGACATACTGTAATTTTTACCCCTCTGAATCAATGTTGTTATGCTGTAAAATTGACTCTTCCAGTGTTCCTATTTTCTGAGGGAAGCCCCTTCGGCTCCCTGGAGTTATCTGGGCTGATATGAATGTATTGTACCTGCTTGATACCTCCTTGATGGGGTTCTGCGAGTTCTTCTACTCCCCAAGCCCGGCCCGAGGCCAGGCTCGACTTGTGAGAGTTTGGTCCACCAGGCCTGGGATCAGTCAAATCGAAAGGAGTTCTTAGCCCTACCGAGCACCACGAGCCAGAACCTGGCCCTTTCAGAGAGGCACGAAGAGCAATGGCCTATAGAAATCCCCGTGTGGTTGGAAGCATTCTATGTCTGCCATCAACGGAGTCGGGTACCCAGAAAGGTAGGTGCCCCAAAACAAACCCTATCATGTTCAAGTTCAAATATGTTTATTGAGACAAGAAAATATATCTCAAAGGGATAGAGTAGTTTAGACTATTTCTACCCCTCCCCCCCTATCTTGTTAAAAAATTGCTATCGAAAGCCGAACCATTGGACAGAACTCCTCAAGTGAAAAATGAGCATGACGTCACAACCGTCACTGCACCGTCATCTGCACAGCTCCCCCCTCCCTTTGAGGGGAAAGGAGGGGGGGCCCCAGACCACTGCATCGGATAGCCACACCCCCAGTTCTGTGGCTGAGCGAGACCTGGTGGTCGTGCGACTCTGGCTCCAGACTTGTTCCAGTGCTGTACCTTGTGGTGTGGTCCTGTCCTTGGTGGTGTTTGAGGCAGGAATAATTTCACCAGTACTCGGGTTGCATGCACCGGGGGTTCTCTTTCCTAGGTGCCCTGTAAACACTGACCCTGTGGCTCGGGGAATCTCTTCCACAAGTCACTCGGGATCTATCTCCACCGTGGTCTTTAGCTGCTTAGTGAATGCCTGCCCTTGGAGTCAGCTGGGGTGTTTCATGCACTCCTGTTTGCCTCTGGATAGGAGGTAAATTCGTTACTGGTAGGGGCACTAGGTACTGTGCAGCTAGTTTTCACCATATAACAGTGGCTGGCTCTGTTCTGCCTGTGACATTGTACTCATGCAGGGTTTTTCTTTTCTTTTTGTTTTCTGCCTGGTGGAGGGTCTGCCCTTGGTGTAATTGACCCTCATCTAATTGTATTCTTGGTGGTCCTCCACTAGGTCCCCGTGTGTGTGAACACGTCCCGGAGGTTCAGCAATTAGTAGTTTGTTTGATAGTTTGGGGTGCCGGTTAGCAGTATCTTGCCTGGGCTTCCCTTAGCAGTGCATCTAAGGACCCGGGAAAACCACACTGGGGATCTATCGTTTGACGGATGCGTCCCCTGGGTCTCATCTCCCTTCGTGCAGGTTTGAAGGTTGCTCTGTTTCATTGTCTCAGGGTGACAATCACTGGAAGTGCCTCTGTCATGCTGCCTGTTGGGTTGGTGACACCTTCAACCCGGAGTCCTTCAAGTGGAGTTGCTTGCATGTACTCCAGTTCACCCAATCAACTGATCTTGACATTCGGGTGCAGGCAGCTTCAGTGTTGCATGCGTGTTTTAGGTTGCTGCAGCACTAGGTTGGGTGCTCACCCGGATGCCCTGATGCTGCCCCGTTTTGGTCATAGGAACCCAAACTTGAGGGTGTTAGTCACCTTGACTATAGTTTCGTCCATGCCCCCTAGTCCTTTCCCCTGCTGTTGTTCATCATGTTCCTCCTCCACTGCTTCTGGCTCCTAAGCATCTGAGGGCTTCAGGGTCAGGGCAGTGTTTAGAGGTTTCTGAGACTCTGGCAGTTTCGGGGGTTGCCCCTTCCGAGGTAGCTGCGGAGGTATTCGAGTCGGTTCCTCTTCCCGTAGCTCCGGGGTCTAACCAGTGGGCCCCATCCTCTTCCTGCTATTCTGGCTGCCCAGGCTTTTTCTTGTGAGGCATGGGCTTTGGAGGACGACTCGGCCCCGGGGTCTAACGTGGAGGCTCCCGGGGTTGGGGAGGAGCTGACTTGGGGGGGGGGGGGCCATGGGCCATGTTGGACCCCGCTTGGGTTTTCTGACCCTCCGAGTGGGGCTTGCTGTTACAAGGAGTGGGGTTTTCTTTTTCCCCCTCTGCGTACAACTTGAATTTGGGTTTGGCTCCTTCCAGGGTATGGTTTTGTGTCCCTGCAGGTCCTTCAGTTCTGTCCTTCCAGAGGTTTTTAGCTTCCCGCAACTCTCCGCCTGAGGTGCGGGCAACCATTGCGGCTTACCTCCTGCACAACCTGGATTATGCTTCTATAATGAATCCATCTTCCTTCAGGTTTGGGGCTTTGTCTCCATACTGGGTTTGTTATGAAGTTCCTGAGTCGTCCTGGCTAGCGAACTGCCCTTTGTTTTTGCTGGATGTGTGGAACACCTTCTGGCATACCCGCACTCTGGAGTGGCATGAGGCATTGACTGTGGTCCAGGTTTACCTGGGGGGGTGACTTTGCACATCTTAATGAGTGCCTTTTTGCTCAGACTCTTCTGCGAGATGTTGAAGAGGTCCAACTTCACGTGCAAGTTCCCTCCTTGTCGGCAGCACTTGTGGCTGAGGACTTGCGCGCACGGGGCTCATTGACTTTGGTCCTGTGCTGCTTTTCCTTCCTTGAGCTATCTTCGGATTGGCTTACTGAGGATGTAGAGGCGCTTGGGGCAGTTCCTGGGTCTAGCACCTTGGCCTCGACTGCTCATACATTGTTTGTCCTTTTGAAGCTGTTTGTGCCGATCCTGTGGGATGCACTGTTGCGATTTTTCACTGCGCGCCTTGAGTGTCAGCAGGTGGTGCTCGCTTCCTCTTTGGAATCCGCTCGGGCCCTGGCTCTTAGATTGTCTTAGCCCTTTTGTCCTTTGGTGTTTGCTGGTTCTGCAGTCGAACAGTATATGCAGGGGACTTGTTCCTCCCGGAGGGGTCGTGCCAGGGCTCACAGTTCCGCCTTTCGAGGTGGGCCTCAGGTGCCAGTTTCGGAGCTGGTGCAGCCTTCGGTCCCGGCTGCATCTGGTCGGCACGGTGCTCACTCTGTATGCAGGTCGGGTTCTCGTAAGGGGCATCGGCCCTTTCGCGGTTCACCCCATTGACGGGGCGATAGGGTGGAGGCTTGTTCTGTTCCCTTGGTCCCACAATTTGCGGGCTTTTCGGATTGTTTCTCATGGCCTGCGGTGGCGCTGGGTGGCTCCTCCTCCTCCTTCGGGGGGTTCAGGGCAGGCATCTTCTCCTGCGCTCTGTCTTGGAGTGGGTGCGCTTGGGCGTGGTCGAA